CCACCCACCCACCTCAGCCCGCAAGCCTATTAGCCAAGCATCGCTCCTCCGACATTCACCGTCGACAACATGTGGAGGTGTCGCCATGGCAACCCTTGGATATGACATGTGCGACCGACGGAGGGGGGCTGGATCCAAGGAGGGGCTCAGCCTTAACCCAAAAAAAAAAAAAAAAAGAGAAGGAAAAAAATGATTGAGGCGAGAAAAGAAGGAGATCAGCACCTCCCCGTCTCTTTTCATCAGGACGGCGGCGGTGGTGAATGGACTCGCTCTTCGGGGGCTTCTGCACATTCTTCCGCGGCTCGGAGAATCAGGCGGGCATATCCCGCATTCTTCTCTCCTTTTTCCAATGCCCCCCTTTTTTTCTGGCTCCTTTGTTGAGACCCTCACTGGGGAACTTTTTTTTTTTTTTCGTGTGCCGGTGGGGGTTAGGGAGTGGGCGGCCCGGGGACGCATAAACGTGCCTCGGAGCCACGACCGGCGTCAGTGTGTAGTAAGCGCCTCTGGAATACAAGAAGACGCCATCTATCCTGCCCTGCGACATGGATTACGGTAACTATTATTATCGTTCCCGCCTGATCTATTCTGCACGTCGTGTGTGAAATTTTGCATCCCGCCGAGGAACGACGCTGAAAACTTGTGAACATCACGTTGTGTTGATGCGATTCCCCGCGAACATCCCCTCGCTCCAATCCCCCCGCACCCCCGCCACCACCATTTATTTGGGGTGTGTAGCTTGCGCAAATGCAACCATGGTTTTTTTTTATTTTTTTAAATTATTATTTTATTTTTTTTGCAAATCTGCCCACAAGGGAGTTTTAGTCCAGATCGTTTTCGTGGAATTACGTCAAACAGCACAAATTCAGATTGTTTTTCCTCCCTGTGTGAGTTCATTTATTGCCTAGAATTCATCATTTTAACCCATGAGTGAATAAAAGTAACTATCCAGTGTATTGAATGACCGCATGTGACATTGCCACATAGAATTTTTTTGCGCTAAAAAGACAATTTTGGCATGCGTCAACGCACCACAGCCTGACCTTTCCTCTCCCTTCATTTGGATAATCCAAGGCACTCCCTCCCCCCCAAAAAATCCATCTCGCCCAGGTCTTTTTCTTTCGATTGACTTAATTTAACACACGGGCAGGATGTGAACGGCCGGGACACATGCGAAGGGAAGGATGTGCTTTTATTGATTTGATTGGGCTTTTACACAAGCTTCATTGGTAGACGTAAATGTTCGCTCTTGATTGAACTTTTGAAGCTTTTTTGCCACGCATCCCCTTTGACATCCAGTTGGTGCACCCCCTCCTTAAAAAAAAAAAAAAAAGACAACGAAAATATTCAGTATCACACAGCCTTTTCCAAATATGATTCGGTCATGAAGCAACCCTTTGAGAACAAAAAAATATATAATTTGGGAGTCTTTCCCATAAAATTGAAGATACGCACCCCTCCAGGGAAAAATATCCAACCAAACAAACAAAAAATCATTTAGGAAAATTGAAACATTCGTTTTTATTCTTTCCAGAACGTCTTCAGCCATAATCCACATCCCCAAAAAACTCCTTTGCATGATTTAAGCATCCAGTCTAATGGAGTATTTCTTTATCATTTGAAGCCACGCACATCCTTGAATATCATGTTGGCACACCCCCTAAAAAAAAAAAAAAAAAAAAAATTCAACCATCCAAACCTTCAGTCAAATGTACTTTTTTTCAATTTAAGACAAAAACTAATTTGGAAGTCTTTTTAAACCACACACTTCAACATCCAGATCAGGTTAACATGCCCCCCTCAAAAAAAAAAAATTAAAAAACAATGTATTTGGAAGATCGAAGCATTCGGCCTAATGGAATCCTCCAAAGCTATGAAGCCACAAACCGGCCTTTCCTACAAATAATAATTCTAATTTTGAGGATCCTTCCAAAAATCTTCTGCCTTCATCATCTAGTCATAGGTGGCACACCCCCTACCCTACCCGCAGGCATCTTTTTTTTTTTTTCTTTTATCTGAGTTTGCTTCACCCTCTCTCCACTTTTTGAATCCCCGCACACCCCCGGTGGGTACATTTTGTTCTCCAAAGACTAAATTGCTGTTCGATCTTGAAGATACTTACAGCTCACATTGCAGTTGCTTTTGCCAAACCGGGCGGGGGGAAAAAAGGAATAATGGTTTGGCGAAGTAGAATTGAGTCTTATCCCCCCCGCGATACAGTGATTTGTTTTCTTCATATATTTCTGATATCAGAGAGCATTATCATGGCTAACGCTCTCAGTGGAAATGTTGGCGTTTGGATGTGCACTGCCCCCCCCTCAGTCTGATCCTCTTCAAACGGCGAGCAGTCAGCGGCCGTCTGGCCCACCGTCGGAAAAAAAAACTCTTAAAACCATCGAGCCGCAAGGTCAAGCAAGAAGCGTCATTTCTTTTTCCAACCTGCTCTGACTTGATTTCGCCTCATTTTGACCATCAGGGTAAATTTCAGCCACATCTTTCAATGTTAGGAGCCTTCTCCATATCGTTACTGAGTTTTTTTGTTTGTTTTGTTTTTCGGGTCACAATGTGGTGATTTGGCAGACGTTGTGTGTCTTTGGGTGTCTTGTCTCGTTACGAATCTCCTCAATTGGTGCTTTCGATGATGCTGTTAGAATCGGGATCCGTTGGTATTTGTCGCGACAAGCAAAAGGCCACGAATGGATCACTTAATCGGCATACGTGTCGGACCTTTCTGCCGGGCTTTTCTAAAAATGTTAAAACACCGCAGCAACCGCCAAAACGAGGTTGTCAACGAAGGCGTCAGGTTATGTCATCAAAGTAAGACGTCACGTCATCGTATTGCAGTGGAAATGAGCTTTGGTTTTGAGACTTGGTGAAGCAGCATGTGGCTCATTGCCCGGCGTAACTAAAAAAAATTGTATAGAATGGAGCAATTGTATGTTTGTGATCACGTGGCATTTCATTTTCGGGTGTTATTTGCGCTACCGTGCCACTCATCGGACCTTGTGTGCCTGCTATATAAAATTTCTCTTCTTTTGTATGTTTGTACTCACAATGTGGCTCATTTTAGCGGAGCAAGGGAGCAGTTCCTGAGCTAGCTAGCCATAAGTCTTTGTGTTTCGAAACTAAGCAATTTCTACTTTTTCAAGGATTGAAACAATTGTATGTTTGGTGATCATATGTCGGCTCATTTTAGGGCGTTACTGGAACTGCTATGAAATTTCTCTTTTAAGTCCCTGAACAATCGCATGTTTGTGCTCACGTGACGGCTGGGTTTTTTTGGGGTATGGGTGACAGGACCTGCCGCGTTGTCATGAGACCTTGAACGCTGCATTCAGTGCATCTGCTTGATGCAATTTCCCCTTCTTTTTTTTTTTTTTCCCCTTTCCTGCACCAATAATGATAACCTGATAAGCTGTTCGCTGTAGTAACCGCTGTCCCCGAAAGGGTAAAGTGACTGAACAATTGTATGTTTGTGATCATGTGGCAACTTGCGTAGCATACTTGTGGAAGCATCCTCCATGCTTGTCAAAAGACATTTGTACACTGCATTCCGACATCTTACCGATGCATTTCTTTCTTTTTTAAAGCAAAAACATGACTGAACAATTGCATGTTTCGAATTTTGAGGCGACTCGTTTCAGTATCTAGTGTGACAACAGCTGCCATGGTAAAACCTAAGACCGTATGACCTTTAACACTGCATATTGTCCGCTCTTTGCAATCTCTTCTCTACCCTTTTTTCCAGTGGTATTTACAGAAATATAGAGAAACGGGATCCCTGGTTTAACAATCTTATATGTGGCGGCAAAAAAACAATTTCAGATCTTGCCTTCCTCCACCCAACACACACAATCCGTACGATTTTGCGATCCATTGGCGGTGCGCTCGCTTCACATCCTAATCCAGCCAGGAGCTAATTAAACTCACAAGCTTTTAGGCTACCGACCTCTATGCAGCTGCACAGCGACTGGCCTGGCCTTGTCAACTCTAAATGGGATTGTGAATGTCTGTAGTGGGAGGCAGTAGTGGACAAGGGTGGGGGGGGGGGGAAAAAAGGGGGCTTGTCTCAATGCACATTATGAGACCGGCATTAGCTGGCTAATTAGTAGGAAGTTGATGGACTGAGCTGGACAAGATGAAGCCCATTTTTGTTCCAAAAGAGAAGCCTTTAAATATGAAAAGAGTAATGGCATGTGGTAAGCATGTATGGTTAAATGATTTCGGGCTTTTATGGCAGCTCCTGAGAGGATTGATTGATTTTTTTTCCTTTTTTTTCCGGGTTGCATGTAGTGCTTTTGTTTGTCGGTAAAGTCCAAAGAGCGAAACATCACTATCCCAAAATATATTCAAATCTTCAAATCAACTATGAACCCTTTCATGCACACTGTAACCTGATAACGCCGTCCCTGAAGGGGTTAAACCTGAATGACACTATATTTAGACACCTTTCCAAATTATGTCAAATGTTATGATTATTTTGTGATTTTTTTTGGGGGGGGGTGATACGCTTCCTGTAGATTCCCTCTCTCTTACTGAAGCATACAGAGCAAAATGATTCAGATTCTGTAAAGCGCGTGTGTCCAACTCAAGGCCCGGGGGCCAGTTCTGGCCCGCCACATCATTTTATGTGGGCCGCAAAAGCAAATCAAACATGTCCCCTTCAATAACGCTTGCTAAAATCTGAACCAAAATTTTGAGCTGTTCGAAACAATAAACAATGTTGCGATCTTGCCTGCATTTTTTTATAACATTATGACAGTAACTTTCAACAATAGTTGAACAAACGATTGTTGTGTGCTGGATACGTAATAATATGGGGCGGGGATGAAACATTGATGTGGTTTCACAGTCATAACAACCCTCCGCGGGCAACTGTAACTACAACTTCAGTCCTCGTTTGTTTCTATGAGGGTTTTCGAAATGCTTTCGATGGCCGCAGATTTTTCATCTGTGCTGTACCGTTTGGACCGTGACGCTTCCGGCTTTTGTGTCGTCCGCAGAGGGGAAGCCTGAGCCACATCCCGGTGGTGAAGGAGACCCGGGTGGAGTCGGGCCAGCTGGCGATTCTCTCGGTGCTGTGCGTGCTCATCATCCTGGTGGTGCTGGTGGTGTCGGCCACCTTCTTCTGTGTGCGCCAGCAATCCCACCTGCACATGAAAGAGAAACTCTCCGGCTTGGGCACTGACACGAGCAGCGATGCCACGGCAACCTATCAGGTTTGGAGACGCCCCCCCCCACCTCTTGACGTTTGCCGTTAGCCAATTGGGAGCCAGCATGCTCGAGCTCGAATCTGCCACTGGACAGGCACACGCGCGCTCAGCCTCATTTTTGTCCATGATTTAGCATTTCCCTTTTCTACTCCACATTGAAAATGAGGGGATGATTGTTATTCATTACAATTGTGTATTTCTAACTCATGGTCAAGTTCGAAATTAAGAAAAGAAAATCTGGTTAAACTGTAAAATATTTCCTCAAGAGCTATTCAGCAGCGTACGATAAAACTGAGAATGTGAAAGAACATGATATACTGTAAAATTATGATTCCAATCAATTGCCCCTCCCTCCCCAATTAAAAAAAAAGGGGCTTTTAGCTAACATTTAGTTCGGGCAAAGGCATCATAAAATATAAACATCGCACAGGTGCAACAATGGGCGGCCCTGTGGTCGACTGGTTAGCACGTCGGCCTCACAGTGCAGAGGTGCCGGAGTTCGATTCCGGCTCCGGCCTTCCTGTGTGGGGTTTGCATGTTCTCCCTGTGCCTGCGTGGGTTTTCTCCGGGTACTCCCACATTCCAAAAACATGCCTGGCAGGTTAATGCAACACTCTAAATTGTCCCAAGGTGTGATTGTGAGTGCGAATGGTTGTTCATTCATGTGTGTGCCCTGCAATTGGCTGACGACCGGTTCAGGGTGTCCTCCGCCTATGACCTGAAGACAGCTGAGATGGGCTACAGGGTGCCCGCGACCCGTGAAACTACTTTCTAAAACAAATGTTGTATGCAACTATAATGCTCTCATTTGCAGTGATTTTTAAATCAGGGGTTTTATACCATCTAAAAAAAAAGTACTAACTCTCCAACTTCCACCATCTTCATTATATTCAAGTAGTAGACATCAAGGTTAATCAAAAACAAAACTGAACTTTTTTTTTTGTTAATTTTAAAAGTTTAATTGAATTTTATATTACTTCCAGTCACTCTTTTGTCAGGAACAGTTTGATCAGCAACACTGCACTTCATTTTTGAATAAATGCTTCACTAATAATTCAAGTGAAATGTATGGCACATCGAGGTTACATTTAAAAAGCAAACCTCAATGAACATTTAAAAACAAGCAGTTCTTCAAAGCAAGCGTATTGAACTTAAAAAGTTGAACACAACAAAGCCGTACTTAGAGTAGGTTGTGAATGAGAATCACCGCCTTAAATAATTGAACCTTCACAGATTCAGAGCAGCATCGAAATTGCGGCAGCGGGAAAATTACCTCCAGCATAAAAAGCACCGAGATCTGTCTCTGTATGGAGAGACTGTCCGCAATCAAATCCAATTCATCTTTCACAACAGCTGCAGCTGTAACATAGCACTTTCCAGAACATGGAACATAAAATCACATAAAGTCATACAACAGAATACATCACGTAAAAATGCACCAAAAAAAAACAACACTTCATCGTTTTACCATCCTACACACTCTAACCACCTAAAAATAAGTCATGTATTTGAACACAAAAATGCAAATTGAAAAATATATTCCAAAACATTGTATGCATTGTAGTTTCTTTAAGAGGCTTTATTTACAAATGTGGCTCTTCTCCTGGATTAAGCGTCGTTGGTGGAGTGAACGCTGAACCGCGGACGTGTTAGACGCCCCTCTGACCTATTGCTCCCCCCCAGCCCCCCTCCCTGGGCTTCGGTGGCCAGGGGAAATATTGATTCACCAGGGTGGGGCTCAGCTGTGACCGGTGTGGCACTCAGAACACATTTAGCTTGTGTGACTTGTTAACATTTTCAATATTTAATCAGGTTTACTCTTCCAAAGCTGTTGAAAGAGAAGCATTCAGGAAAGAAAATTTGGAGTTTTTGATCACATATGTCTTGGAAACAACGAAACCATGAGGAGTTTGAAGGCCTGAGTAGCGACAACTGCGAGGTTCCTATTGTTGCTGTCGGTAATATTAGTCGTAGTCATCGATATGGTTTGTGTGGAATCGCATTTTTGACCATATAAACATGAATAAAAAGGCACCAAACTTTGCCCACCCCCGGCAAAAAAAAAAAAATGCTATTTTAAAGTTGCCGTACATGAGTACAAAAAAAGGGATCTGTCGTGCCCACTGCAGACATTTCATTTTGTTTTTGTTTTTTTCATGTGAGCAGTCTAGTGAGAGCACATACTTGCTGTAAGGCCAAAGAACAATAAATAATGAGACATGTCGGGGTTAAGATCTCATGATCACATCCTTTGAAAAGTTAAGTTAAAAAAAAAAAAAACGGAGCAATCGATCGTTAAATAAAGAATAATGTGATGTAAGGTATGTGTAGCCGAGCAACAGCTACGATATGTAACATGACATTAGCGTGCCAGATCTCTGATTATTCCATTGTTTATAAAAAAAAATCATTTTAGTTGACAATCATTTTTGTCATGTGTTTTTTAATCATGAAAATAGCACTCTACTACATTATATTTTACAAAGCTCCACAGCTATTGCTAACTGTTAGCAAGTGAATGGCACTTTGCATTGTTTGTTAGCCTTAAGCTAACCAGATTGTCCTGTGGCAAAGCTGTTGTTTTAAACACACAACATGTCCTTTTGTTTGATGTTGACTTTGACAGTAACCCAACACCCCCAACGAATAATATGTGGAACTCCCGGCCACCACTTGAAACCTCAGTCAAATGTGTCCAAAATGTCCATCCACGGTGCAAGATTGTGGATTATTGATCGTTGTTCTTCACACTTTGACAAGAAACCCGGGTCATAAAAAGCCCGTCGGTATCTCCCCTCCGCACCCAGGCCGGGCTCAGCTCCTTCCCACATTGTAGCAGAGAAGTCGAATGAATTATGAGCTGGACTTGGATGTTGCCCCAAGGCCAAGACTCGGGGCGCCGCTTCATGACTCTAATCATTAAAGTCTTGACGGTGCCGAGAGGAGGGGGAGATGCAGGAGCAGGGGCTTAGCAGGCCCTGCAGCCCTCAGGGAAATATCACGTTGATAGATCAGCGGATAGCGCGTGTTGCCTTCCACAATGCCTTTTCGGAGGCCTCGGCCGTTATTGAGCATGGAAATGAATTCGAAAGGATGTGTCTGGCCGAAAACGGTACACGATGGTTTTTAAAGATTGTGGTGACTTGTAACAGATAAGAAATGAGACAGAGTGTCAGACATAAAATAAGATCGAAAAAGCCTTTATTACTCGTGCGATGGGGAAATTACGTTTTTTTTTTTTTTTTTTAACTGCAGGATACAGAAGTGGCGGGTAAAGACACACAAGAATACGAGTAACAAAGAATGAAATTTGCAGATTTAGTTGTCATTAGATTACGCAGCTTGCGAGCAACATTTTAATTGACAGCTCCTATATACTTGTCAGGTGTACTTGAAGAAACAATCCGGAAAGTAGTCTGCAGCATTGTATGTAGCAACTGTGCACGGATCAATACAATGTATAGGGTACATGTATAAGGCACATAAGGCGTTCAAGAGTCAGCAGCAGCAGTGTCAGCGTCAGTTCCATATGAATAATCAATACCTGACAGGCAAATGGGAATGTAACCAAAAGGCAAGAGTACGTAGTGATTATATAGCAATAAATAACCTATGCAGCATCTGTGTATTTTGTGTGTGTGTGTGTGTGTGTGTCTGCGTGTGTAAAATAGAATTTTGAGAATCGATGAATGGTTTAGACACCTTGTTGACTTGAAAAACTGATATCTGAGTGTCTTTTCAAAATAAGACATTTTGGAATAGGACGATTGACATTTTGGCTCATTTTCTGACATGCCACTCACCAAACCGGTAATTACAACTCAGCAGAGTGACACGTGTTGCTTGTAAAATGGCCCGTCTTCATATTTGGATTGCACCAGGAGAGCAATATTTAAAACAAAAAATATTTTTAAAAAAAGGAAAAGAAAAGAAGAAGCTGAGTCACTTGAAAAGTTGTAATCTTGATAAAAGTAGGGGGGGAAGCATTTTTTTGTTGGCAAACTGGAGATATGCATCAGAATATAATGCATGAATGCATCCCAGTCCCAGCTGGTTATTTGAATGATGGATGAGCTTCCCTGAATTGTTTTGGGCGAAAGGTTCCTTAATTCATCTTTTAAATGTCTGATTTGTTTTGGAGGAGTGTGTGGGGTGGCATATTGTTTTTTTTTTTTTTTTTGGGTGGGGAGGAGAATCTTAAAATCAGCGCCATGCTTCTTATGGATAGAACACGATAGAGTCGAATCGGCCTTCGTTCTTACCTGCAAGTGGGCAATTCCGGTGTCACAGCAGCAAAGTGGACAGTAGCAGCACCCGAGACGTCAAATAATCAGTCATCCACAAATATCTTGCATAATACATCAAGCAATGAGACCGAGCAGAGACTACTGCACTGTATTGTGTGAACGTGAAGAATCAGATGTGGACGGCTCAGTACTGCATCCATGAAAATAGAGACAATGTGAACAGCGGCAAGAATAGTCAGCAGATTGGCAGGCAGCAGGACATACATAGTCAAGACTTTGTACTGTATGCAGGTGTGAATAGCAAACGGCCACGCCCTGATTTTGAAATTGTTATAATATATATTTTTTTAATAACCTCCTCTGCCCCTCCTCCCAGGAGCTGTGTCGTCAGCGTATGGCCATCCGGGCGTCGGAGCGCGTGGAACGTCCGGAGACTCTGCGCCATTCGCGTCTCAACAGCGTGTCCTCCCAGTTCAGCGACGGCCCCGGGGCCGGCAGCCCGTCGGCGCGCAGCAGCACCTCCTCCTGGTGCGAGGAGCCCGTGCCGTCCAACATGGACATCTCCACAGGTCACATGATACTGGTGAGCAAATGAGATCTTTCGTTTGGAAGCAAAATGGGCTGCGCTATGTCGCTCTTAACTACTTTGCTGTCTGAAGAAACACAATTTCAAAACACCACGCCACACCGTTCGCTGTTGCTCTACAGATGAACGAGAGCTCTTAAAAAACGTTTTTTTTTTTTTTTTCTGACGGCAGCAACTGCCAACATCGCGAACGAGAGCTCTTAAAAAACGTTTTTTTTTTTTCTGACGGCAGCAACTGCCAACATCGAAGGTTGATGGCACTTGGTTTCTTAACATTCTGATGTTAAGAATGTTTTGAGTGGATGTCGGTGGCAGTTTCTCGAATGTAAGGTTAGCTTGTGTGTGTGTGTGTGTGTGTGTGTGTGTGTGTGTGTGTGTGTGTGTGTGTGTGTGTGTGTGTGTGTGTGTGTGTGTGTGTGTGAGATTTTTCTCTTTATCTGGCCACTGTCATTTACCCGCTCACCGCTGCAGCAAAATAAGCTCAACTTTTTTTTTTTTTTTTCCTCCTGAAATATCTTTTTCCCCTATGTGGCTGTTCCCAATGATTGTCCTTTTGGATGGAAAAGAGCTTTTCCTTCCACACATCCACACAATGGATTGTTTTAATTTTGCAGCACGTCATTCATTTGAGACAAGCTTGATAAAGAGACGGATAGATGCCTGGCAGTGTTTCCAATAATGGCGGGTGCATTAATCACATGCCACGTCTGCCTATTATATAGGGGGGGGGGCTGTAATGAATGAGACGGAATGTGAGTAATGCCTTGTAGTGTGGCTAATAGATGGCTTTTCCTCACGTTCGTCAAGGCTTGTTTGTGCCAAGCCCCCCCTTTTGAACATGGCGACAATAGCACGGCGCTAACAACAATAAGGGGCCCTGTGAATCACTTCGAGGAGGCGGGCTGTTCTTATTATTTGCCAAGCGTAGTGTCGTGAGTGATCTGTTCTTTAGTTCAAAAGTCCAAGTTTGAAATTGGATTCCACACTCGGAGCTAATATTTTACGCTGATAGTCGACTACCCGATAGAAATTCTGGGCGCTAACCCGACGTTTTGTGTGACGCAAACATAAGGTCTCAACATATTATTTTTCTTTTAAATAATGGATTTTGAAAACATTTGTATACTTTTATACTGTACATGTGCTATTGGTTTGAAAGAGGAATTATTGAGGAACGGCTGGGTTTTGGAAAGGGGGCACTTAGGCGGGTCTCTTCTTAACATTCCCCCGCCGTCATCTCCCGTCAAACCGCGTGTGTGATTGCCTCCTTATCGCTCATCTCGGGCCTATATTTGCCCCTCTGATCTCATCTCTCCGTCGCGCTCTCGCTATTTGGAGCGGCGCGCCGTGTGGAGACGGGTGATGAATACGCAGCGTTCCAAAGCTCACACACTCACACTGCAAAAAAAAAAAAAAAGGAAGGTCTTGTGTAACTTTGAAAGTGAAATAGGAGGCCTCCGTGTGCTGAGTCATCGGCTCCTTGTTGTTCATTCGGAGCTGCTTCGATACGCCCTTTGCTCGTTTGCATAGAGTCGATGACCCAATCGCCAAAATGGCTCGATAATGTTCCCCCACTAGATTGTGGTTCATCCTTTGGACCAATCGGTTGTATAGCAGATGTATTTATTTTTTCTCCTTTTTGTGTTTTTAAGTGGCACCCTTGATTTTGCAAGTTAAATTCTTTCCGTGATGTAGCAAAAAATCTGCATTGCACCAACAACCAACCCAAAAAGTTTGTAATTGCCAGTCGAAGGCCACAAGATGTTGGCAAAATACTTATTTCAATTTTAGACAAGGCTATGGCCAGACTAAATGAAGCTCCTTTGCTCAGTTCAACATCGACGTTTGACACGAGAAGAAGCCACCATGTGGCGCCAAAGCAATATTTTTATCTTAGACATGACTTTGGCCTGAGCAGTAAAATGCAAATATGCGAGGGGCGGGGGGCTTTACTGTATAGCAAATCAATTTTACCCATTGAAATCAATTCAAATGCCATTAGTTGGTTCGAGTCTCCCACAAACCATCGCAACTTCTCAATTTTTTTTTTTTTTTTTTTAACTGTAGCCACCACAATTTTCAAAAGTTTTTAAAAATGGTGTCATACATCAAAGTGAGCCTTTAAGGGGTGTGGCCTAGTGAGTGATGCCAAGAAGTGTGTGTTCTCATTTTGAGTGATGTCATTTACCGAATGCCGAGTGCCAGTCATCCATTGTACTGCTTTGTTGATTGTCCCGTTAACTGCTCTTTGCTATTGCTATCGAGTTATTCGGCGAAATGCCTCGGCGATGTGCTGCGATGCATTGTTGTTCACTTTCAGGCAAACAGTTGTTTGAGTGGCCAAAAGACAGGTCACATAAATTGACCAGAAAATTTGGACGACACGGTTTCGTTCTTGCAAAGCAAATGAATTTCATGCCGGTGTTGACGAGCATTCTTGTTACGAGCACTTTGAAGACCTCTGTTTTCTCAACCAGATTTGCAAAAAAAAAAAAGGTAGGTGTGATAATGAATAACTTTTTTTTTTTTTTTTTAATGAAAACATTCGATTCAAAGTATTCTAGAATATTTCATAGTATATGAGTATGAGTGCATGGATGAAATCATCTTTCAGGGTTTGCAACTAAAAATGCTGCCGATATCATGTGCAGAGTGTCCGACAGCGCAGCAGAACTACCTTAGCAATGACAATGTAGGACACCAACCCACTATGACGTGTGCTCTCGGTGCTAGCGGGAATACATGGACCAAGTAGGCAATCCCTTGGTGCGCGACTTACAGCACGGCACAGCATCGAATCGCAAACAATAGCGCTAGGCTAATAACCGTAGCCGAAATAGCTTACAGTTCTTACTATTCTGATGGGTCTCGTCTCCACTCCATGTCCAGCCGTTCAGGCACAACATTTTCCACATTCTGAGTATATGGCTTGTTTATGTATGGTCTTGCCAACAACCTCCCCTTCCTCCAACTCGTCATACTACTGGATCCCCCTCGATAAATTTGAAACGTCTCTTTCCGAATCGATTTCTGACTGTCTTTGTACACTTTTCCATAGACCCCCACTATTGTTTTCCTAAAGTGACGTCACATTTCCGGGTTTGTCGCCCGTCAGGTTCTCACACGATTACTTTGTCTAATTTAAGGAATATAATTTTTTCCCATGCTTAATTCCACATATTGTATTTAATTAACTGACTTGTGACATAAAAATATTTCATTTGAGAGTTTCCAAAATTAAAAGCTTGTGCGTCTGTTATGCCCCCCACGATAAATGGTGTTTTCACTGTACTGTGCAAACACACTAGGACCTTTGATGCTCATTTCAGGACCATGGACAGCACCTCACAGGCTGCACGCAAAAATATTTCTCTTGTGGACAGTTCGGGTAGCCTATAGGATCCATGCATTCATTCATAGTGCCCTGGGCATGACTGCCACATTCTCATAACCCTGATTTCCGTAATTTCATTTCGCAGCTCAATTAGCACAGTACTGATACAGTTATTTTAATTTCAAATATGTCACAGGGGATGGGCCAACTTTAGCGACGACGTCAGTTTGAAAGCAACTTTATTTTTCCAACAGCTGAAAGTTTGTCTCTTGATGAGTAAAACGCTAACATATTCTCCTCCAATGAATGTCACGGGCAAAAACAGTCCGTGGATTGACACAACATACAATCAACATTAATGAAGAAAACGGCTCTTGTAGCTCAAAGGCACCTTGAACCAATTTAGGGAGAGAAACAGCTCCATGAAGAAACCAAGAAATATTACAGGAATCTTGAGGATGATCAGTGCGTTGTATTAAAGAACGGAGTGTGAGCCATATCACGTCAAAATCCCCCTTACCCCCGCCCTTCCTTTTACAGACTGTCGAAGGCTACTGTTAGTTTTAATTTGACAGTAATGTCTTACCTGTTGTTTGTCGTCCGCCTTCATCCCGATTTCACCCAGCAGCCTCGGCCGCCGAGCAGACTGCTTATGGGATTAGACATTGTTTCCCTGACACTCAGGCCTCCCCCCCCCCACCGTACCAAGTCCCTGATTGGCACACGTAATCCTTCCCACATTCGCTAAACCTTCGCGAGCCCGTCTTGCGGAATAAGCTGCGGTCCACCGCCTCCCGCCGGGAGCTCACCGCCTTGATAAGGGGGCCCCGTTGTCTGCGTAGCGTTAAGGGAAAAATTTGAATGTAGAAGGCAATCAATTCACTGTGTCGTTTGAATGGAATGGGATGCACTTGGGAGCAGATGTGATGCCGGGGGAGTCGGATACAACATGACAGGTGACAGGCAGTGATGGAAAAAAGGATTCAAATTTTCTCCTCATGTAAATATACTCGATGACTCATGTATCGGAAAGAATACTCAGATAGGCCTAAGGAACCAATTCTAACTCCCTTTGTAGGAAGGAACAATAGTACGCTTAATGCCCTTCCATCAAGGGATTGTCCATGATAATCAATACCCGATTTAAATATTTCCAGGCATGTTTTCATGGTATTTTTAGGCACTTTTTTAAAGATCTTGGAACACACTTTAAAGAAATATAAACGCATTCGAAATGATTTAATAATGAACCTACAGCTGTGGCCTGCTGTAGGCGTAAAATGCAGGATGATAGATATTCAAAAATAATCTGTTCAGCAAAATTGAGGCTGCGCTTGAAACACTTCCTGATTTCTCTTCTTCCTTCAAATGTACAGCGTTTAACACAGTTTTGTCCCGCCTGCTAGTGGCCAAAAGTAGAATTGCATCCAAAAATAAAAAAATTGAATATACAGTCAAACCTCGGTTTTCGAACGTCTCTGTTCTCGACCAAATCGGTTTTCGACCAAAAAATTCGAGTTTTTTATGCCTCGGATTACGACCGAAAATCGGTTCTCGACCAAACTGAGTGCACTTGAATGCGCCACTTGACTCCTCTCGCCTTCCTTACACGAGGAAGTGACGTGAGTGATTGTGAGCAGACGTGTTCAATCAAGATTTTTTTTTTTTAAAGAGTGTGGTTTCGGTTTTCGAACAAATCGGTTTTCGAACAGCCTTCTGGAACGGATTATGGTCGAAAACCGAGGTATGACTGTAGTCATTATTGGAAAAAATAATCCCATGATGGATTCATTGTATTTTTTTTTTCAGAAAAAAAGTGTTTTTTCTGGATGACATCCAAATACTCAGAAAATATGGATTTTCCTTTATGAAATTAAAAGCTCCCGGCAACAGCAGAGAACAATTAAATTTTTAGGAGCCTGCCGTTAAAGATGGCGGTGGAACACACTGTGCTGTCTCATTATGTCCCCTGCATTAATCATGAGCGCTTGATTTTAGGACCTCTGTGGCAATTTAGCTTGCATATCTAACAATAAACTTTGATTCCCATCATTAGTTCCATTTGTACGCGTCTTAAGGACTCGCCTAATATCCTGTTGGAGATGTGAATTCATTAGCCATCAAAGGGTAATTACCCATTGTGTGCTGGACAGGCCTATTTGTGATTATCATCTCGGCGGCATTTATATATTTTTTTCTGCAAAGATGTGCTTTTTGCGTATGACAGACAGCACAGACTGGAACAATGAAGCCGCTCAGACTGCTTACGCTGTCTTTAATATGGGATAAACCCGACACGCGTGTGGGTATCGCTTTCATTGTAGTAGCCAGCTGATCCCTGACATCAGTTTATGAGTCTGTAATCTTCGGCCCCGCACAATAGCAGACTAAACCATTTAACCTCCCCATCGGGAGGTGAGCCATAATACTGGACAGAAATGGGGGTAACATGGTGTGTGCTTTAAAAAAAACAAAAAAACATTCTTGCCTTGCCAGCTACATCCCATAAGCTCCCTTAGACTTGCCCTGATTTGGGAGAACACACACACAAACACACACACACACAACAACCCCCTTCTCTTTTGCTGTCTTTGTCTCTTGAGCGAATTCAATTTTGTCCTCTGCGAGCGATGCCTTCAACGCAGACAGTCTTATCAGTGGCAGTGCAAATGGTAAAGGACAAGAACGGAACACACCTCACAAGTATTCTCACAGCTGACAAACCCCTCCAAAGTCTTACTTGTGTTCTCCGTACCCCCTCAAACTAACCCCCCCCTCCCGCCACCTGCCAGCTACTGCCAGTCTAGGCAGTTTTTCAGGCTTGCGGTGTGAAATGGAACTCTTGTTTTCCCCTCAGTCGTACATGGAGGACCACCTGAAGGACAAGAACCGTCTGGAGCGCGAATGGGAGGCCTTGTGTTCGTACCAGGCAGAACCCGCCACCTGCAGCGTTGCCCAGAGTGAGCAGAGCACCAGGAAGAACCGCTCAGACGCCGTGCTAGCATGTGAGTGCTTCCCCCCCCAAGTGGGAAACCGCAGCTCTCATTCACAAATCTGTGTTCGGTCTCAGGGACTCCACTAGTCTAGAACTATGCTAAGATAGTCTGTAACGACACTTGGATAGTCAGCAATGATACCCGGGTGGTCAGAATTAATCCACAGGTCGTCGGTAAGAATAGCAAACATAATACATAGCGAGGTAGTCGGTTACAGCAGTGGTCCCCAACCCCGGTCCGCGGACCGGTTCCGGTCCATGGGTCATTTGGTACTGAGCCACACAGAAAGATTAAATAACTTACATTACTTACGTTTTATTCATTACGAAATCTGAAAGATGATTCATTTTCAAAAATTACCAGAAAAAAATTACCAGATATTACATCCGTCTACAGTATGTCACTCTTACTCGGGTAAAGGCGCACTTCTCGGTCATGTGATAGGTTAGCGCTAAAATGAAACCCAGGAGCTAGCAAACTGAGTAAAAAAAACAAGCGTCTTTGGAAAGTTTTTTTCCAAAGACGCTTCATAGACAGTCCTTAAAATACGGATTTATTTCAACGGGAGATTCCCACGCACCAAGTCCACTCTGCATAATATGCGGCGATGGTATTTTTCATGCACTTTGTATTTGCGGTGTATCTTATTTTGAAGGCACGTTTAATTAAACGTGACCATAGCGACCAGAGAGTGTTGCGGCCAGATAGGACGTTCCTCGTGTCGTGATTCGGGTTTATTATTATGTTTAGAAAATACCACAGTTTTTATGCAGGTCATATATTATTTTGTTGTATTTATTCGGCCGTTGTATTTATTAAGCCGGTCCCTGAAAATATTGTCTGACATTAAAACGGTCTGTGGGGCAAAAAAAAAGGTTGGGGGCCGCTGTGTTAAGACTGTTTTCTTACCGCGGCATGTTCCAAAATGCTCACGTCACACATTGCCGTGCCCTAATATGGGAATTAGTTGACGCCAAGTAGCAATTGGCTTCTTTTTTTTTTTCTTTTCTTTTTTTTTTTTTAGTTAACTGTCAATCAATCATGACACAACCGGCCACTCTTGACTGCGTATAACACTTGAAGATCTGAGATTAGAAGCTTGGCTGTCACTCAAAGCGACGTGTTAAAACAGGAACGCCGAGTGTGCGTTCACGAGCGGCAGATTTTCATGGAGATATAAAGGAGTTGAGGGACTTTTTTCTTATTGGAGGTGGAGAGATTCCGGACTTGTGCCATGATGAAAGAGTGATGAAAGTGCTCTTCTCTCCACGCATCCTCTCTCAGTTTCATTTTTGTGTTTTTTTTTTTTTCAACGCGGGGTGCCAAGGAGGGAAAACACACAAATGAATTATGCATTTTTCTTTCAGATGATCATTCCAGGATCACCTTGAAAGCGGAGAATAACCACAGCGGCTCCGATTACATCAACGCCAGTCCAATCGTGAGTATTGTTCATTCACTCTTGTTTTATTTTTTTTCAGGGGGGGCTTGGATCTGCCGTTTCCGTTTGATTTGTCATAGTTTTGAGTATATTGATCCTTTTTTTTTTCTTTCAAAACTTACTTCTCCAAGCTCAAATCCACGTGGATCTATCAGTGCTTTGAGATAACCTCGTTTTTTTTCATCTGTACAAACTAAAAAAAAAAAAAAAAAAAAAGATAAGCATCTTTTGTTTCAGGCAAATACATCTCCGATGTATCCAAAAGTAGGTGGGAGAGGGCCGAGGCTATTTTTTTTTAAGCACTCCCACAACCACCACATGTTGTCAGTTGTGATTTCCCCCGAGGCTGCTGCGCAGGGACTCCATCAAAGGCAACAGGAAGCTATGCATTTCAAACACAGTACCCGGAATTTTCCGAGCAGATAAAGGAGGGAGCTGCGCTAAAAGCTTAATGTGCCTCTCAAACAAACAATCCGCGCTTTTACATGCTCCATTTTCTCAGATGGCATATTCACACCTAGCTTTTTCAAGGTTGCGCGCAATAACAAAAACATTTTTTTTTTTGGGGCGGGGTGGAAGTGAAACGACCAAAGGGTTGCAAGTGGGCAAGGAAGTGGCAGGACACCGGAGGGGTGGGCGGATGCAAAGAGGGTAATTACACCACAATAGGGACCCCCGGCTGTGTCTAGCAAAACTGATAATTATGTCTGTCAATGTGGCTTCTTCCTCTTCATTAGCTCCGAGGCAGCAACGTCCCACCAAAAATAATCGGGCTCTGTTCTTTCCCGTGGAGTTCACAAAAGCTAATGAGCTAAGCTAGCAGTCTCCAGTCACCCAAACGTCGCAAACGCACGGGATTGACTGCATGCAGCACGACTTGGCCGAGAAAGGCAGCGGGTCCGCTTCACAACCATTTCTAATCGTGTTGTCAGGAATGAGAGCCAAAAGTCGGGAGTAATGCTCAAGTAGTTAGTAGTCATGTATGACATTCAGGGACAATACTCTGAAACAATACTCAAGGAGTTAGAACATATCCAAATATTTAGGTGCAATTCTCAGGTACAAATACTGTCAAACTCAAGGCCCGGGGGCCAAATGTGGCCCACCACATCATTTTAAGTGGCCCGCGAAAGCAAATCAAAGATGATGACTTCCATGATACTTGCTAAAATCCATGCATCCATCCATTTTCTGATTCGCTTTATCCTCACCAGAGTCGCGAGGTGGGGGGGTTGCTGGAGCCTATCCCAGCTGTTTTCGGGCAGTAGGCGGGGGAGACCCTGGACCGGTTGCCAGCCATTCGCAGGGCACACAGAGACGAACAACCATCCGCGCTGACACGCAAACCTAGAGACAATTTATAGTGTTCAATCAGCCTGTCATGCATGTTTTTGGAATGTGGGAGGAAACCGGAGTACCCGGAGAAAACCCACTGGGAGAACATGCAAACTCCACATAGGAAGCTGAAACTGGAAACAAACCCGGTACCTCTGCACTGTGAGGTCGACACACGAACCACTTTAGCACTGGGCCACACTATTGGAATTGTCAGGAATAATGACAGGCAATGACAATACTTTGGTAATCAGAAACAATACTCGGGTCGTCAGTAAGTACATTTGAGCTGTCCTGGACACTATCAAGATAGTCTGAGGGAGCCCAGTACAATACTGGGGTAGTCAGCAGCAGTAGTCAGGAACAATACGGGTTGGCATCACAGGGCTCCACACGAACTTTTGCACTGGTAGAAACTGAAAAAGTTATTTACACCAGGACAGATTTGGTCTCATTCTTTTTTGGGGGAGGGGGCAGGGGGTACAGCCTGATCATATTTGCTGATGTATAATAGTCTCAATACTGTGGTTTTGTATGATGTAACATTGACTTTGACTGAAGAGAAATATTTTACGGACACAACAGCTTTGTTTGCAACAAGCCGCAGCTGACAAAACGGATCAAGTCCTTTGCATAACTTTAAGCGAAAACAAAAATAGGAAGTAAAAATATCAGTTAAAGCAGTGAAATAATAGCTGACAGCTAAACAACACATTTTATTCGTATTAGTTCAACAAAACAGTGTAAAGCGACTCAATTGAATGATTTTTTTTTTAACACACTTAATATTTTTACTTCTATCCAGGACAAGTCAGAAGGATTCCAAAATATTTGGATTTTGTTTTATTTCAGCCTCTGTGTCATCAAATATTCTTGAAGACGGAAGGATGGAAGCCTAGTGGTTTGATTAGGTATCATGACATACCAGGAAGTGACAAAATTAACATTTACTGCTTCTAGGGACTTAATTCTGTTTTCCAAATGTCCGACTGCATTTGAATGCACCTTGCGTCTCGCCGAACGTGAGGTGCCAATGTTTAAGATCGCGATCGCTTGATACAAGTTAATAGGTCGAAGCCCAACCAGCCACATGCATGTTGTGTTTTTCAACAGTAGTACCTAATAGTATTTATAATTGCACGAGGCTAAAGTGGCGAATGGGCATCGGACATTTTTTTGCGAGCAGTTTTACAACCAAACCAAAAGAGACGACAAAAAACGACTTCCTCCGCCCGCGCCGTTCTTCTCACCACGACAGAGAAGAGGACGGCCCTAAAACACAGGACCGCTCTTTCATGTTTGCGTTTTAGTATTCAAGCGGCGGCGGCGGCAGCGCGTCTGTGTCCTTGAGATTGGCAAAACGAAACGGCGGCGTTTGCGTTCGCCTTTAATTTCAGCTAGGGGAATTTCGCCCCCCCACCCTCACATTTCTCCTCTAGCAAAAAACATGTAAGGAATCTTAAAACCAGGAAGCATGAAAAAAAAATGTTTTGCTGAATTACAACAGTGTTCCAGTGATCTCCTTCTTGCGCGTCTGTGATGTTTAAGAAACTGTACATCATTGGAAAGATTTTAAAAGGACTATTTGTTTTCAAACCTTTATTAAGATTCTGTTTGTTTTTTTTTTACTTTCTGTGCAACACAGTTGAATTGAATCATTTTCAAAATTTAAGCGCCATGTTGATGTTCAAACCGTGTAGAATGTTAAAGTGGCTTTCAGTGGTTTTTGATGAATATGTATTTTGGTGATTTTGTTGTTGGTACTTGACCAGCATAAATATTTTAAGCTGTACGTGCCGCAGTGCGACGTAATGACGCAATGACATCATCATGCAATGTCAGTTCGTGTCTTTTTGCAACAAAAATTATTTGGCAAAAACTGCATGAGCACTTCAAGGACTTTGAGACTTGCGCTCAACAATCACTTTTGCGCTTCATGACGCGTTCAAACATAAATCTCATTGGCGGACAAGAGGGAGGCGCCGAATAACTCCGCGAACGTAAAGGGAGGACGTGATGGTCTCCATCCAGATGGAGGATTTAAGCCGGCGTCCGACCTGCGGGTTTCCGTCCGTCAGCCGCCGTCCAAGCACTGCGTGACATTGCGTTTTCTCACTCCCAGATGGACCACGACCCTCGCAACCCTACTTACATCGCATCGCAGGGTCCGCTTCCCTCCACCGTGGCCGACTTCTGGCAGGTAAGTCTCGTCCTGCCGCCGCTCCCATCACTCAGAGTGAGTTGTTTCTTCAGCCGTGAGGTTTCCGAATAATCGCAGCAGAGACACACACAGTGGGGAGAAAAGGCGGGGGGTGGGGGGACATGTGGGTTACACATTCTTTGCTTTGTGATAGGAGCTCTCAGCAGGAGATCAGCAAGCCCCAACTTTGCGCCTCTCGTGTATTGTTCCTGCTAAAAATATTTTCTCAACGATATTTTTAACAAGCTCGATGCTTTAAGCAATGCTTAACACTTCTCACAAGCTGACATTTCTCCAAACAGTCGGGGTCCTGTGGCCCAATTTCTATTTAAGACGACAAAAGCCTCCCTCAAAATTCTTTTTTTTTCCCTACTTCGAAAAAAATAAAAGAAAAGATTTTTCCCCACTTCTAAAGAGACAAATCAAAGAGTAGAAAGAACACTATTGTTCCAAGGACGGGCAACATAACTGCTGGACGTAAACTCTGTTGCTAAGCAAAACAATAAAACCTACTAAGGCGTGTAAACAGCCTCTCAGATGAATGAAAGTTGTAAATAAGTCCCCTGCAAAATATCGTTCGAAGGTGACCGGCACCTCAACCACAAACGTTCAGTATGCGCTCCACAAACTGAAACTGCTGAACCTATTTGAACTCTGTTGCTAAACAAACCAGCAGCACCTATGGAAGGACAAGAATAAGATCCGGTTTGTTTGTTTGTTTGTTTTAGTTCCCACACGCAGGACGTGACGTTACGTCGTGACGAGTAGCAGAAACAGCTTGAAGTTGTCTTTCGTGCTTGCGGTTTCCGTTTTTTTTTTTTTTTTTTTTTTTTTTTGTGCAGATCTTTTGACAAATTAATTCTTGTACTGCTGCCCCAAGTACGAGCGTCGTACTTCCCTGACATGTGCTATACTGAAGCCAAAAGTCCACAACACTTGTAGCGGGGCAATGTAACAGCACTCACAGTATTATCAATCCTCTGTACAAAGACTAATATTAGTGCCGTACCGATGAGCTGAGAAAAGATTGGGAGATCTCAATGAGGAATTATAATCAATCCCATTTAAATTCTAATTAGGACACGATTGGCTGCTGCATCCAGGCAGGACTGCTGAGAAATATCGGGATTCATAAAAACACTTCACTGAGCAGTATATCCATCTGGACGTGAGATGCCGCCCCCAGGTGGACAAGGCAGACCCACCAGATGCAAAGTCACAAACGCAGTTTGTGATAAAACTGCTGATGATTTGCGAGTCATGCAGTCCCAATAACAAGGCTAATGTATTCCCATTCCTTGCCCGAAGCACCATTAATCACCCGGAGCCACAAGCCGTTGTTAAACACGGCTGACCACTTGCGTGGAGGTGCGCACTAAATGATGCATGCTGGCCAAATGGCGTCCCTGTGTGTTAATAAGACGCCCACTGTAGTAATTAGCGAGACCATCGCCTGCGCAGTCGCGTAACGGGAGTGCGGAGCAGGCACGAACCCTCCCTTCCTTTCGCCATCGCGCGGCAGAAAGTTTTCTCAAGCTGGGACTTCCTGGAAAAATGGCTTTTCATAGCCGACAATAGGCTCGAAGTTAATTAACAACGCAATAGCTCGCTAGCTTTTAACTGCAAATTGTGTGGGAAGCTTCCCCCCCACCCCAATCCCCAACCCCCTCTCATTCTATTCCACTGTGTTGAGTGGCTCAAATGAAACGCCGATAATTGTTTTGTATTTGTTTGTCGGTGTTCGTGCCAGGTGAATAGACGTGCGTCAATCTATTATCGGCATCCAAAAAAAAGGATTCTCAGTGACGAACCCGACGCTGCATCTTTTCCAATTATGTGGGTGGGGGGCCTTGGAGGTCGGGGATGGAAAATTGGGCTTGTATTCACAGAGTTGAAAAGTAGTTTTCTCACTCTTTCAGGCCGGAACAAAAATGAGTCCGTGAATGTCAATGGACGAAATTGATGTCAGTCATTGTCAGAAAGTGACTCTTAATTATTTACGATTCCAAATGCTGCTTTTTAGTTTGGTTTGTTCCTGCTTGTATTATATATGTGCGTAGCATTTCATTTCATGAAATCATGACTGCGAGTGGGATGTCAAGCAATGACTTCTGGGCAATGTTATTTGCTGACTGCGCTGCAAAAATAATAAATGCGTTCTTAAAGAGAGCTTGTTTGGGATACATATTCAACTATATTTATAATTCTGCTTGTGGTGATCAGTGTAGATTTGCCAAGTCAGATTTATTGAAAAAAAAATGGGAAAAAAAACATCTGGGGAAAATCAGAAACCTTGAGAAGGGGTTGCAGATGGGACAATCCACCTTCCGGCTGTATCTGACACAATTTTGTACTATACAATGTTAGAATGACATAAAAGTCCATTTAACAAGATGAAAACGCTGCAGGGAGGGACACCTTCGAGAGGTGAGTCTCCCTCAAAACCCGACCTTCAGCTCAGTCAGTGCAAATCCTGTCCATAACGATCGGAGCAGAATCCGTACAGCGACATTCAATTGGCTCATCATCACCTTGCCCCGTCTCCAGACCAGGGAGGAGGGGGAAGGACGAACAGGGGAAGCGGCAGTTAAAAAGGCCAACATGCACTTCAACTAAATGCAAGATTTGTTCATTCAAATGAGTCTAAAGTAGGGTTTTAAACATTGCAACAGCGGTAGCTGCTCTAATTTGCGTGGGTAGGGCATTCCAGAGCACTGGAGCCCGAATAGAAAATTCGCAAACTTCTTTTTGGCTCTAGGAATCGCTAAAAGACCAGCATGTTGTAAACAAAGAGCTCGGGGCGGCATCACTAAGTCAGCGAGTTAGGAAGGTGCTCAGCCGTGTATTATTTTATCAGTAAGTAGCAAAACCTTGAAATCGCATCTCAAACGGACCGGCGGCCAATGCAAGTTGGCTAGTATCGGGGATCATGTATTCGAACTTCTCTTCGCTTTCTCTTCATGTCTTCTTTACTTCCAATTTTGTCTTGTGACCCCGATGTTGTAACCCATTACTGGACAGAGTAACTGTAATAATATTCCCCAAAATATTCAGAGTAATGTGTTACATGACTTACATCTCCACCTTAATGTTACCTCACCGCTGTTCTTTAAAAGTTTCTAATTCCCTTTTTGTCACCAACGAGATACGGAAAAGAAAACATCGACTGAATTTACGCGCACTGAACATATTTGATAAACGCACCGAACGCTCGTAAAATCTTGAGCTTTCCTTCCCATTTCCCTTAACTCATTCAGTACCAGCCAATTCTGGACCAAGTCTGAAAAGACGTTGAGAAACGTCTTTGGGAGTGAATGACGTTTAATGGCTGCTGTGGGCTTGTGTGTTTCTCACGTTACAATCGGCTGCGTCAGTGACAATTTTTTTTTCAAGGCCCCTGCACCCGGATTAAAAAATCCTTTTCATCCTCTCGTATTCCACCGCTCGTCAGCCTTGAACAATTTACATCTTCTGTGGTGCGCAGATGGTGTGGGAGAGCGGCTGCGTGGTCGTCGTCATGCTCACTCCCGTCTCGGAGAACGGCGTCAAGCAGTGTCACCGCTACTGGCCGGATGAGGGCTCCGATGTCTACCATTTCTACGAGGTATGTACGCCGTGATCGCTTTTAATTCATGCGCGCGCCCCACAGTTTCTGAATCTCCAGTCAAATTGATGACAAGGTCACGCACCTCATGGAGAGCACGCATTGCAACTCATAATTTGGAAATCTCCTCTCATCAATCACTTTTAATCTTGCACACTCCCAGAGAGGGGGACAGCGGGGGGGGGGGGGGGGGGTTGCTCGTATTGCATCGTCTGGAAATCTCTACCTCATGGTCTTACTCACGCTACAGTTTAGAAATCTTTGCTCTAATCAACCCCTATTAATCGCACGCACCTCCGCACCCGAGTTTGGAAATCTGTTCTGCAATTTATCAATTTTAACGTCAAACGCCACCTCGAGTGAACTGTGTGGACCCCCAAGGGAGTGCGCACGCACCACAGTTTGGGAATCTTTGCTCGAATCGATCTCTTTTAACTCATTCACTCCCAGCCATTTTCAATGGAGCAACCCCCTCAATCCCAGCGTTTTACTGGATTTTGACTGATCTTGCAAGGCCCATAGAATATTTGGTTCTAATGCTATATAAACATGGAGCCCACCAAAATAAAGTTTGGACTCTCTTCTTTCAGCAGAAAAAAAATAGTTTCTTTCTTTTTCCATTCTTCAACAATCGGCATTACAAAAGGGCTAAGTCTCATGAAAATGGCGATTCCTGGGCAAAAAAACGGAGAAAGCTTTTTGTAAAAGCATGCATTTCAAGCACGTGAGGCACTACTGCCACCTACTGGTCGCTTTTTCACATGATTTACAATGCAAATGGATTATTCTCATTCACAGATTGCATCAGACCCTCCTCCTCTCTATGGCACAAAAAAAAAAAAGACTTAGACGTACAAGTACGTCCTTGGTAGGCGGGGCCTAATTTTAAAAAGAAGTACAAGTACGTCTTGTGGAGTTAAAGAGTTAACATGAGCGCCCCCTCCCCGCGAGGGGCGCACCACTGATTGGGAATTTGTACCGTATGGCGTTAATGGTATCGCCGTGTGTGTTGATGTGCATCCAGGTCAACCTGGTTTCCGAGCACATCTGGTGTGAGGACTTCCTGGTCCGGAGCTTCTACCTGAAGAACCTGCACACTAATGAGACGCGCACCGTCACGCAGTTCCATTTCCTCTCCTGGATGGACCGCGGCGTCCCCAACACGGCGCGCACCCTCTTGGACTTCCGCAGGTATGGCAGAGCGTCGACCCCCGCCCCCTCGTCCGATCAAATCGCTCACCCCCCCGTTTCTCTCCTTTCCTCCAGGGTCATAATAATTTGGGGGGTTTGGTTTGACATTTCTTTTCAAATATATATTTTTTAATTATTCTTTTGAGCAGATTTGTTCATTGTAAGGTCATTTTTATATTTGGGAAATGCGTGCTTTTCATTATTTATTAGTTTTAGTCTTAGTTTTAATTTTTGGAATATTTGGAGTATTTGTCGAGTGCCAAGTATTTATTGCGTAATAAATGAAAGTCATCTCGACTTCTTAAACGACTGTTTGACCTAGCATCTTCGTAGTTACCAAAATACATAATTAAAATTTTAAATGAACCCTGAAAGCTCATGTAGCGTGTTAATTGATACAAACAAAAATGTAAGACATTTTTGCTATTATCGTCGTGATTTTTTTTTTTTGGTTTGTTTTGTTTTTGTGTGTTTTTTTTTTTTTCCAACTTGAGTTTTTGATAACTATCCCGGCACCACCTCCTTCTCCTCACCTCCCTCCAGCACTTGCGATGCAGCAACTTAACAGCCCCGCACTGCCTGGCTTAGCTTGGGGGGGAAAAAAACACCTCATTCAAAGAGCCAATTAAATGCGAGCCGCCTGACTAAAAAGAGGGGAGAGAGCGTTCGGCATTTGTTAGCGACGGGATCACCTCGCCCGAGCTCCTCCGGGAAACAAATGAGAATAGATGCATCTGATTTGGGGATGGAAAACTGCCCCCCCCCCCCCCCCACCATGCTTGTTAATGCAAAGTGAGGGGACGGCGTCCTCTTTGGTGCTTTCTTTCCCTTCCAATTAGCTTGTATGGATTAGAGTGCAGCTTTGTTTCTGTGTGTGTGTACGCCCTGACGACAGAGTGTCTATTTTTTCATGTTTCGGCCCTATTTTGCAGTTGCCAGTGTCATTTTTGTGATGTTGCAGCTAGTAATATGAGCCCAGTTGCATAGTCACAAAAGTGATCATTGGAAACTGCGTCTCCTCAGCCAGGCCTGTGCACAACCTGATTTTTCTCTTGCTCGCTCACGCTCTCCCACCCCTCCTCGCTCTCTCGACCCTCTTGCTTTTTGCATGGGAAGTTCCGGCACATCTTTTCGCTGCACTCCTTGACACGGACCTAACATGAATGACGTTCTCCCCCTTTGGCACAAACATCGCCTGTCACAATAACACGCTGGGAAATGACTCTCCATTCGTTGAAGTGCCTCCACTCCGGTTAAAGTGATTGATTGGCGGGCGAGGGCGAGCGGGGCCGGCTTGATTATTGCCGCGTTTGTTTTCGTCGGGGCGCGCCGCATGAGTCGCGTTTAATTGGAGGCATTCATCTTTGTTTTGCCAACATGATCCCCGACCACAATAACGTGTGTTCTTTTTTTTCCTTTGTCTTCTTTTATTCCAGAAAGGTTAACAAGTGCTACCGGGGTCGAGCGTGCCCAATTATTGTTCACTGCAGGCAAGTATTGCAACCTGATGATTATCAAGATGTTGATGGTGATTGGGTTTCCGCTTCCATCCCAGGGGCGCCAATGTTTTCGACCACATTCAATTGCGCTACACAAAAAGGCGTCTTCCATTCGGTTCGCTCCAAATCAAAATGGCCGACTTCGGTGTGTTTGAACAGAAAGAAAGAAATCGCATGACATCGACTATGCAAACAAATTTGTGGCCTTATCACTTTTCATACGGCAAAGCGCCTTCATATTTCTTGATTAAATCAAACATCTTGTCAGGGAAAACCTTTTTTAGTGGGTCAAATTTGGCAATTAAAGCATATTAAAATTGAAAGAGTACGCATTAAATCACCCCTCGGCGATGGTTGTGTTTATGTGTTCTTGTAAATTTACTGTCACCTATGTTATCCTAAAATTTGCAATTTGCACAAAAAAAAATGACAAGGACATAATTTTATTTTGATTGAGACATTGTTGGTTGTTTATGCTTGATTTCGATTTCCGGCTCAAATTCGGGTTAAAAAAATGTGAACTTTCAGTTTAAACTTCCTCATACATGTTCAAAACCTCGAGAGCTTCACAGAAATTGAAAGAGTCTGCATTAAAATGAATAAAATTGCCATGATTACTGTTTGGCACCATAATTGGAAAAAAAAATGGAATAGCACTTTATTATTTTTACTAAGTTGTCAAATAGTCATGCACTTGGATTTAATCACAAAAAAAAAGAGAATTGAAATCATTGAAAGAGTGCCCCCACATTAAAGCCATTCAATGATTAAACACCGCACAGACCACCATAGCTTTTATTTTATTTTTCTTACTCTTTTCTGTATTTTAAGAGTTTAGCCAAAGGCCGGTTTATGGTAAAGCCTCAATGTCCCGCCCGAGCACGTTTTTAACAGCCGCACGTTGTGAAGTCGTGCGTGCGGCGGGAGCGCCGGCGCTGCTGCGCCAAGCGTGGATTAATGAGATCGCCGTGCGCCTCCCACCCTCCCCCTGTTCCGTTGGCCCGCGCCTTTATCGGAGAGATGTGCACGCCTTGTTTGCAATTAACATGCAGCGCCACTGAATGGCCGGCGGGCACAAAGGGAGGCTTTTCAACACACTATCTCTGGAGTACTGGAGAGAGAGCGAGAGGGGGGAAAAAAAAAAAGCAAGGCCCTCAAAAAAAAAAAAAAAAGCGGTTCTTCAAACCGCCCCTGGTCTCTCAACCTTCTCCTGTGCTCCCGACGTGCATGCTTTTAAAAGCCTTTGTCCTCTGGTGGGCTTGCAGAAGCCCCCAATCCCTCTCCAGTCCCTCGGTGTTGCTTGCCCAGACCACACATGAGTCAATCACATGCGTTGCATCATCCAATATTCAAATGTCCAGGCCCAATATATTCACAACGTCTCTCTTGCTCAATTAAAAGAAAAACTCTGCAATACTGTATTACAAAAAGGGAATTTTTTTTTTAATTTGTGTGAGTGTGTGTGTGTGTGTGTGTGTGTGTGTCTGTGTGTGTGTGTGTGTGTGTGTGTGTGTGTGTGTGTGTGTGTGTGTGTGTGTGTGTCTCTCTCTCTCTCTCTCTCTCTCTCTCTCTCTCTCTCTCTCTCTATGTATATATATACAGATAAAATTCCAGAGTAATAATCCATGTTTTTGTTTTTTTGTTTTTTAATTCACTGAGCTTTTATTCATGAAAAAAAAAATGTTCATGCCTTGTTTAGTTTTCATTCGTGTCAGCATAAATTCATTTATAAAAGAATAAATGTTCCAAATATTCAAAAAGAAAAAGAAAAGTCTCAACAGCTCATTCAGTACCAGCCACTTCTAGACCAAATCTGAAAAGACGTTTAAAAACGTCTTTGGGAGTGAATGAGCGAATGAGCAAACTCGTGGCCTTCGATATTTGCGTATCCAGCTGTATTTTACTCTCGTCTCGGAGTCGCCCAACGTCATGATCTGTGTCCTCCTTGTCTGTGTCTAACTGCAGTGACGGCGCCGGCAGGAGCGGGACTTACATTCTGATTGACATGGTCCTCAATAGGATGGCAAAAGGTAAACGCTTGGCTTTTTTCACACTCCCCCTACGCGTGTTGCCGTGGCAACGCTCTGGTTTTCCAGAGAGGGTCTCGTTGATGCGTTGGAGGGTGACGCGGGGGCGCGCGGGGTTGGAGGGAGTTGAGGGAACAAAAGCCCCCCGCACAAATGAAAAATCAAGGTGGGGGCAGAAACTATATGAACATGAGCAATTTTGTAGTCATTTATGCTACTGTCACGCCGTATCGACCCGCATCACAATTGCCACATGAATTTAGATGCCACATGCATGGCAATGAAACTGCATTCGTTTACGGCTTCGCCATTGGCATCAATGTTTCATAGAAGCAATGTGTTCATTAGATTTTTTTTTTCTTTATCGTTTTCGTCTGGGAGTGAACCCTTGCGTGTTACACGCACTCTACAGTGTTCTACTGTCTAAGTCATAAGACAAGAAAAAAAAAACAATTAGATTATATGAAGCAATTTATGACTGCATGCGTTTCTTGTGCGGCTGCTTGTGCTGTGCATGCGTCGACCACCAGGGGGCAGCATAATACAGAAGAAAACTGCTGCGGTAACGTGAGTTGAAAAGCAGTGTGTAAAAATGTTTGCCATTCCAAATGGATTCTGCGTCCATTGTGGATGTTGGCAGACCCCCAAAAGGTCGAACTGTGTCAATTAGAAGAAGTCCTCCTCCATCCCTGCCCTCTGACCTTTCAACTTTGCCCTTCCCCCCAACTCAAAAACGGCCGCTCGTTAGAAAGGGGTTACGTCCGGCGCTGGTTCTTGGGTGACAAATGTCTCCGTTGTCCACGGCGATGAAAGCGTATCGGCGCGCTCTTTTTAACCTTTTGTGTCCTGCGCAGTGGCAACCCCCCCTTCCCCCCCACCCAC